AGTTTAAAGGTTGGGTATTGGGGATCTAAGAAGGTCTCTAAGCATGCCAGGCAGTCCCGGAACTGAAACTGGAAGATCATTTCCTGGGTGCCACTACCTGGGATTGGGGGAAAGAGTTTAGGGGATAGGGCTTAGGGAGAAGAGTGATAGGGTTCAGGGTTTAGGGCTTAGGGTTTAGAGTGATAGGGTTTAGGGTTTAGGGCTTAGGGCTTACAGTGATAAAGCTTGTGAAAAAAATCCTGCATTCCTTTAAGGACCCTGAACTATGGGAATTATGGTATATATTCCTTATTGTGGGAAATGCAGGATTTATATCATCAGCCGTAGGGTTAGGGTGATACAGGAACCAAAGGTTTAGAGGTTAGGGTGCTGCTGCCCATGGCGACGCAGGAATTTTCAAACGGGGCGCTTGTCAGCCAAGGGCTTCAAACGGTTCCAAAGCCTAAACACCAAATCCAACTTTCCCACACAAACCCCCGAGGCGGCGAAATCTTCGGTCGCACAAACAAGATACCGTTCAGGGTTTAGGGTTTAGGGTTCAGGGTTTGGGGGTTTTGGGGTTCAAGGTTTAGGGTTTTCGAATACCTCAACTGCCGGACAGAACTCAGGATTCCGGGAGGAATTAACGGAAGAAGAACGGGCCCAAGGTAGCCAACAGACCGTGAGATGTGTAAGAGAGGGGACTTCATAGTTGAAACAAGGCTTCGGGGTATATTATACCATCATAATCAGGAACCCTTAAGAATACCGATAGGCCCCATAGTAGTTCCTTTTTGAGGTTCATATTTAGAATCCTATAAGGGGATCCCAAAAAGGAACTACTAGCCTATGGGTAGTACTAAGAATGACTCAAGCTCCAAATTTTGGACCCTGTGGGTTCTGAAGACCCGGCAACCCATAAACCCTAAACACCAAGCCGCTTCCTCGCGTAAACTCCAAGCGAAGACAACCAATGGGCTTCTGGTTTGGAGTCCAACTTGAGTTACCCTAAACCCTAAACCCTAAACACCCTAAACCCTAAACCCTAAACCCTAAACCCCTAATCCCTGAACTCCAAAACCCAAAACCCTAAACCCTAAACACCCTAAACACCCTAAACCCTAAACACCCTAAACCCTAAACACCTAAAACCCTAAACACCCTAAACCCTAAACCCTAGGGTCGATGTTTCCAATCGCAAGCATCTACGTATTCAAGAAAACTGCCGGCGTCCCTGAACTCTTAAACCTAAGCTAAGGGTTTAGGGTTTAGGGTTTCAGGGTTTAGGGTTTAGGTTTAGGGTTTCAGGGTTTAGGGTTTAGGGTTTTAGGGCTTTAGGGTTTAGGGTGTCTGACGTGTACGGAATGAAAAGATGCTGCAGAGCCGGAGGGGATGCTGCAAGGAATGGTTTAAGGACTCGACCCATAAAGGAAACCTATATTTGGGTACATGGACCCTTATACCCTAAAGCCTCAACCCTCAAGGTAACCTTAAGGACCCTAGGAGAGTTTCCGGCCACCAACCTTGGCAACTCTAATGTTGCAAAGTCGTGTGCAGCAGAGCTTCTGCTGATCCAGTCGGTGGACCTGCTTGGAATATTGCCCGAATGCCACCCGACACCGATAGCCCGACCCGTATCGACTGGACCCTAGACCCTAAACCTTAAACCCTAAACCTTCAACCCCGTACCCTATAAAGCCCTCTACCCCAAAAGCGCAAAACCCTCCACCCAGAATTTCAAACCCTCAGCCCCTAAACCCTTAGATCCCTTGTCGAGCCCGTTTTACCAAGATCGCCACCCTGACCCTACGGCTCCTGGTTTGGGGGCCTTAGGGTTTAGGGTTTAGGGTTTAGGGTTTAGGGTTTAGGGTGTTTGGCTTTCCGGTTCAGGTTTGTAGGTTTTGGGGGTTGGGATTTTGGGGGTTCGGGGTTAGGATTTAGGGTTCAGGTTTGGGGGTTCTGGGGGTTACGGTTTAGGATTTTGGGCTTTGGGGGTTGGGGTTTAGGGTTCTGGGTTTTGGGGGTTTAAAAGCCGTGAGATTTCCAGCGATCTTAAACAAGGGGGACTTCGGAGCAAATCTCTAAATCCTGCAGTTTCGTCGCCTTAGGGTTTAGGGTTTAGGGTTTAGGGTTTAGGGTTTAGGGTTTGGGGTTTAGGGTTTAGGGTTTAGGGTTCCTGCAGTTTCGGCGCCTTGAGATACAAAAGTGAACATTCCTGGACTTCGAACACGTTTGAACCATAGATCCCACGACTCGCCCTAGATCCTGACATCCAAACTTGCAATGTCCGCAAGCCCAAAACCCTTAAACCCTTCAACCCTAAGCCCTAAACCCTAAAACCTTAACCACTTTATCCGGAAATCCCCATCCCGAAGGTCGTTCGGCACATAGATTGTAGGGTTTAGGGTTCAGGGTTTAGGGTTTAGGGCTTAGGGTTTAGATCCCGCTATCAGCTTGGGAAGCAGTAAACCCTGAACCCCTATGTGTACCAGTTCGGCCGATGTACAAGGACAGCCCAGACATGCTCCTGGACCTGCATGCTGCACCTTGCTTGCACATAGGATTACGAATCGTCTGACTAGGGAAGACCCCCATGTATTTGCTATAAATATAAATATAAATATAAATATAAATATAAATATATATATATATATCTATAACTATAACCCACTGACCCTTTTACCAAGTTGCAGGATCTTGCGACCAGGCCTTGAAACCCGAACCGCAACTCCACCCCCCGCCCAGCCTCGGTTCTGCGAAGCTCATATCGAAGGCACCTGAGATATCCCAGGCTTAGCAGCGGGCTTCGGGATTTAGGGTCTAGGATTTAGGGCTTAAAGGTTTAAGGCTCAGGGTTTATAGGGGTTTAGGGCTTAGGGTTTAGGGTACAAGGGTTTAGGGTCCAGGCATTTAGGGCTTAAGCGGAAGAGTTCCTTCAGTCCGCAAGACTAGTTGGGATGCTTGAGCCGTCCTGAATTCCAGGTGGGTAAGTAGGGAGGGCTTAGGGTTTAGGGTTTAGGGTTTAGGATTTCGGGTTTAGGGTTTAGGGTTTAGGGTTTCGGGTTTCGGGTTTAGGCTTTAGGGGGAGCATGGGGTAAGTAGGAGGAGTGCGGCTACAACAAGGGAAGCTCGGTAGCCAGCTAGCCAGCCAGCCAGCCAGCTACTAGCTAGCTGGCTACCTTGATAGCTGTCTATCATTATTATCTATCTATATATCTATCCAACTTTGCTATCTATCTGTCTACCCAACGACCTGTCGGCATGTCCACATAATGGTTACATGCATGCGCACAGAGATATAGATATGGGCACATATAGATATGATATGATATGATATGATATGATATGATATGATACGATACGATATGATACGATATGATATGATATGATATGATATGATATGATATGATATGGTATGATATGGTATGATATGATACGATATGATATGATAT